AGCTGTGCAATTGGGAGCCTGGTGACGATCATAACGAAGTTTGCACCGAAGATAATGATTTTACCACCGCGTATAATGTTGGTAGGACCTTTTTTTATGAAGTGCTCACCAGTTGTCGGAAGCACCGAACTGGATGATTTAATCACCGATTTTTTTGAAATAAACACCGAATATAATGAAGTGCACAGCGAATATAATTTAGTGAACACTTTTTTTAATGAAGTGAATACTGAACGAATAAGCCACCCAGTATAATAAAATGAGCACCGTTTTTTTCGAAGTATGCACCGAATATAATAAAGTAAGCACCGAATATAACGGAGTACGCATTTTTTTTACTGAAGTAAACACCGAATATAATGCTTTAAGTACCGAATATAAGAAAGTAAACACCGAATATAATAAAATAAGCACCGAATATTATGAAGTTGTTGTGTATTCATTTAGTGGAGACACACACTCCTCAATTGCTTACTACTATTCTATCTTTATTCGTTGATCAAGTATCTTATAAGCTGGTAGAATAGTCTTACTTAGTCGTTCGATTTCTTCTACCTGTTCAGTAGTTCGGATCTCTTCCTCGTCGCCAATGTGTTGTGTATTCATTTAGTGGAGACACACACTCCTCAATTGCTTACTACTATTCTATCTTTATTCGTTGATCAAGTATCTTATAAGCTGGTAGAATAGTCTTACTTAGTAACAGTACTTTCACATCACTCAGTAATCTTACAGTAATATCACTAACACTAGTACAAGTACTTTTACTGTGTTCTCAATACACTACATCCTTCCAGGGCGATGTTCAAAGAATCATAAGAAATTTAATTAAAGCAATCACAAGTTTGAAATCAGAGTATGGTTAATTCAATAGTAAACGAAAATATCACAATCCCTCGTTGACTTAACTACCCTTCCAGACCTTGTGGTGATAACCTGGTCACTCTGGGAGTTTTGCTCCACAACCTTACTAGAGGGCTCGGTAATAGTTTTCGCTGAAGGATCATTAGACTCCTTGGACTTAACACTAGTGTCTACGTCTATGTCATTACTAATATGCTTACTGGGCGCATGTTTTAGAAACTTTGCATTGCGTGTTGAAGTGTTGCCCGTGTCCACATTGACTAGACTAAATGTGTCTCCCGCTTTGGTCTCAATAATTACGTGTTTTGCCGGAGAGAAAGTTGAATCTAGTTTGTTTGGCTTCATATTGGCACAAAATACGATGTCACCGATTTTGAAATCATGCGGTGCTCCATGTTGCTTGCTATCATGATAGCCTTTCAAACGTGCTTGATACAAATCGCATTTTGACCGATGTTCGCGGTCGAGTGCAGATAATGCGCTATCTGAATTGAACTCTATGTACGGTAGTTTTGTTCGAAGTTCGCGATTGATCAAAAGCTTACTAGCTGACTTTCCACTAATTTGATGCGGACTTGCTCTGTACAGCATGAGAATCTTAGGCAATTCCATTTGCCAGGATTTTCCTTCGCTGATGGCTGCTGGAAAGTTCTTCTTTAAGTATCGGTGAAATCTCTCTAATTTTCCGTTGCTTCGCGCATAATATGGAGAAACACGAATGTGTTTTATTCCACACGATTTTAGAAATGCTTCAAATTCCGCGCTGACAAACTGTTTTCCGTTGTCAGAAACGATTTCTTCTGGAAACCCAAATCTTGCGAATATATCTTTCAACGCTTTGATTACTTCGCGTGAAGTGACCTCTTGTAAAATGAACGCTTCCGGATATGATGAATAATAATCAATGAAAGTCAAAATAGATTTTCCATCGATTGGACCAACGAGATCTACTGCACCTTTTACCCAAGGACCACGAGGTAAAGGTGTTGGTTGGAGCGGCGTGTACTTATTAAGAGGCTGATTAACTACGCACGCTTGACAATTTTTCACCAATCAAAGACA